AGCAGCCCTTGGCTACACACAACTATATAGACTGGAGTTCGCGAATACTATTCACAACTCAGCTTGAATGCTATTATACATTTGATCTCTACATTTTATCTTTCTATCACAAATACTTCTAGTAGTTAACAGTACATATCACATCAAGCTGCAAACACTCAAATAATCATCTGTGAGCACTTATTCTTACATTTCAAGCTCAGTCAGTCAGCAATCATCTGTTATGACTGAAAGAACTAGAAACTTGTATACTCTAACCCCTGCAAACTCTACTGCAGGCACTCAGGAGCAGCCACTCAAACCATGAATAATTCCTGTGAAAGAAGTCTCAGAGAACTTATCAATCACTCACAGAACATCATTCTCTGCATCTGTGACAGAGGAACCCTCTGAACCCATGAATAAATCAATCTCAGTGAAAAACATTCTTGAGTATCTTCTGCAGAATCAAGCTATTTTTCTATAAGAAATGTTTACTGTCTGCAAACACTCTTAAACTGAGTCTCTAGACATGATCTTCAGAGACACTCACAAACTGAAAAGAAACTTTCTTAAGTTATGATTACTTAAGGCCACTTATCAAACCACAATCTATAAAAGCTTTTACAAGTTTGCATTTGAAATTGACTTACAAGCCTGACTGTGCAATATGAAAGATGAAGAAGCTGTTATCTACATAATAACAGACCTCTATTACACTGAAGCCAAGGACTGACTGAATCATCTAGAGAATAATCATGAGAGATTTCACTAATTCATTCTCAAGACCTATCTAGAGAATAAGTTAGAGGACTTCACAAGTCAGACAGAGAATATCAGAGCTGTAATCATCAATATTAGAAAAAGAGGTAAAGAATCTGATAAAGACTACTCACAGCACTTCATAAAATTGTGATGTGAATTGAGATCTGTGAAAACAGGGCTCTGAAACAAGATCTGAATGATGATATTCATAAAGAGACTGAATAAAGACATGCAGAACAAGCTCATTGAGTAAGACTCTAAGTTCTTAACTCTGAAGAAACTGATGACTCTCATTCACTGCTTACAGATCACTGTGAGAGTCACAGACTCATGAAGAGTGAATCACTGACTGGCCCTGTAAGAGCCAGGACAACAGAGGACAGATTTGCTAGAAAAAGATAACAAGACATAGAGAGATTCACATCTGACTGCTGAGCAGAGAGAGAGAGCTTCATAAGCTTCTATGAATAGAGTGTATAATAGAGAGATCAAGAAAAAGAGACTCTGCTTCATCTGTTCTAAATCAGAACATCTCTGTGCAAACTGTTCAGACAAATCAAAATAGGAATTTGAAGAGTCACAGACAGAGTCAGCAACAGCCTTCTTAAGAGTCTTGAAGCTGACATCTGAATCTGTTACTCTCTCAATGAAAATGCTTGCTTATGAGAAGAGACTGTGCTGCAGTACTGCTGCTCTGCAAGTATGAGAAGTATTGATGAACTCAGAATCCCAGGTCACTGTGATGTTTCTAAAGCTCACAGAGTGAATGAGCTGAAAGATGAAGACTGAGAATCTGCTCTTATAACAAGCAGAGTGTGAGAACTCAGATCTGAGAGCTGAGAGACTCATAAGAGTCATCTGTGAATTGCAAGATCTCTCTGAAATCTGAAGAAGATTTACAGAAACTGTGATTATTGTAGATATTACAGATAACATGTACTTGAGACTTGTATAACTTCAAAGACACAATCTGCATATAGCTGTCTGCAAGTCAGGTTTATACTTTCAATCAGTGTTGACAGACTCACTCACAGAGATAGAATCAGTTGATGCTGCAGAGTTGATTAGAGAAGACAAGCTTATCTATATAATGACTTTGTAAGTGTCTGAGAATCTCACAGTCATGAAAACTGAGCTTCAGATATCAGAGAAATACTGAGATCTCATAGAGATGTTCAGCTTAGTAAAGGCAGCTGAGCTTTCTTCTCACTGTGAGAAGAATCTGATAATAGATTTGATAGAAGAGCAGAAACCCTTCTGAGAACTAATCTATAAGCTCTCTTATTATAAGACAGAGGTCTTGCAGATCTATGTGAAGAAGAATCTGAAGAATGACTTCATTCAATCTTCACAGGCCTCTGTGAGAGTCTCTGTGATATTTATGAAGAAGAAGAATGAAGATCTCAGATTGTATGTAGATTATCATGACCTGAACTTCAAGATAATAAAGAGTCACTATTCTCTGTCTCTGATTGAGAATGTGATTAATCATCTCACAGAAGCTGTCATATTCACACAACTGAATGTGATTAATGTATATACACAGCTGTAAATACAGTCTGAGAATGAATAAAAGACTGTCTTTAGAACTGCACTGAGATTGTTTAAATATCTAGTAATGTCTTTTGATCTGACTAATACTCTCACAGCATTTCAGTCTTTCATTAATAAAATACTTTGTACATATCTGAATGTCTTTATAATAATATATCTGAATAATGTGATGATGTACTTCACAAAGAAGAAAGAACACACTGAGTATGTATGAAGTGTATTGAAGGTCTTAGATGAGACAGAACTATATATTAAGCTCACAAAGTACAACTTCAGTGTCTGTTGAATTAATTTCCTAGAATATATAATCACTGTAGATAATATTCAGATAAAATCTTCATGAGTTGAGACTATTCTATTATAATCAGAGTTAACTAGTATTCATGAGATTCAGATCTTTCTGAGCTTTGTGAATTTCTATAGATAGTATATCTTTGTATTTATAAGAATCTTCTTAGCTCTTACAGACATACTGAAGAGTGAAAATAAGAAGAAGTTATCTTATAAATGAAGAATAAAAAGATTGTTGAGAAGAGAGAACTGTGAGAACTTTCTTACTTTAGAAGCTCATGAGATCTTTGTAAGATTGAAACAGATATTCACAGATACAGTGATGCTGTTTCACTTTAATCTCTTACTCTTAATCAGATTGAAGACAGATATCTTCTTCTTTACAATTTCAGAAATAGTCTTATAACTACAGTTAAATGAGAACTGAGTTTCAGTGATCTTTTTCTCACAGAAGATACAATCTGTAAAGATCAACTATGATATTCATGATCAGAAGCTTCTTACAATAGTGAAATTCTTCTGTCACTAATATCACTACTTTGAGAACCTTGTAACAGTGATTACTGTTAGAACTGATCATGACAGCTTGTAACAGTTTGCTTCAATCAAGAAACTCTCATAATAGCAGGTTCACTGAGCTCAGAGACTGAGTGAGTTCTGATTCAAGATAGAACATATCAAGGAAACTAAGAACTCAGCAGACAGACTCTCTCACAGATCAGACTATATTAAGAAGATCAGAATGACAGACACAGAGAGACTAGAGAAGACAGAAAAGCTTCACAGAATGCTCAGACTGAGTGTTATAAAGAGATTGACTGAAGAGTCTCTCAATCTCTTATAAGAGAAGAGAGAAGAGAGAGAAAAGAAGTCTGTATAACTACTCTCTATAACACTGAGAGTCAACACTCTGAGAATCTCTGTAAGAATTCTTGAAGAGAGTATCTATAATCTGAAGAGTTTGCAGGCTTTGAGAAGCACTGTGAAAGACCTGATGTAAGAAAAAACAGAGTATAAGTCTTTATAAGATCTTCTATTCAGATTGTCTGAACTATAACTGAAGAATGAATATACTCAGTATATTTAAAAACTGCTCATGACAGAGATCAACCCTGCAGAAATAAAGAATTGAAGAGACTTAAATAATCTCTTATAAAGAGAGAGCTGGATTTATGTACCTGTAAATGAGTTTCTATATGTAGAACTTATTAAAAGGTATCATGACTCTTCTCTAGCAGATTATTTTATAGATACTAGAACTCATGAGTTACTTATAAGAAAATACTTCTGATCAAAGATATGAGAACTTGTAAAGAAGATAGTGAATTCTTATACTATTTATCAGGATTTGTGAGTAGTGTGATTCAGATTATATGAAGAACTTACTCCTCTACTCATTCTGCAGAAACCTTGGAAACAGCTAGGAATGAATACTCTTATAAGCCTCTCTGAAAGCAAGAACATATATGATGCCTGCTTTGACAGTGTACTGATAATAATGAATCACTTCATCAAAATGACACACTTTATACTCATCTGTAAGAACTTGAAGTCAAAGGATTTGACTCACATCTTTATTCACAATGTAATTCAGTTGTATGAGTTGTCTGCAAACATTGTCTCAGACAGAGAATTAATCTTTACAGAAGAGTTCTGATCTGATCTGATAACTATACTGAAGATCTCATGAGATCTAAGCATGACTTTTCATCAACAGACAGATAGTCAGATAGAATACCTGATAAGTATATTGAAACAGTATCTGTAATACTTTGTTAATTACAATCAGAATGACTGAGTGCATTGATTATCACTCATGAAGTTCATATATAACAACTCAAAGCATGTCAGCACAGATAAAACCCTCTTTAAGATACTCACTGAGACTCATTCACAGATGATCTTGATGAATCTGCAAGAGTACACTATAGAGTGTGATAATGTCTGTGAACAGGCTGAGAGAATTCAGAAGATCTGAGAGAAAGTCTGTAAATTCTTGAGAAAGGCTCAAGAGTATCAGAAGAGATACTATGACTTTAAGCATATTATAAAGAGCTTTAAGAAAGATGATAGAGTCTGACTGAGTCTAGAAAACATCATTATACAGAGATCTAGTAAGAAGCTGAATCTCTTATAGACAGAGTCTTGTAAGATTATGAAGAAAATTAGCTCACAGTTCTATAGATTGAAACTGTCACTTAAGTTACAGATATATAATGTTTTTCATATCTCTTTGCTTCATAAATATAAGAAATTCTCAGAAGAGAATTCTGTGACTCATCACTCTGTCTGTAAAGTACTAGAGAGTGAAAGAGAATATCAGATCAAAGGAATTATTAACTCAGAGAAGCAAGATTACAAGCTCTGATTCAAGGTTCAGTGATAAGAGTATTCTGATAAGATGAATAAGTTCACTTGAGAATCATCTGAGTAGATAAGATATCTGCAGAAGCTGAGACATGACTTTCATACTGTAAATTCTGATAAGTCAGAATAATGCAGTCTTCATTAAGAATCTGATTATGATAAAGATATTAACACTGTCATTTACAAACCCTAGTCTATAAGATAATGAGTTTCTACTGAGATGAACAGTCTGCAGTGTACACAAGAAAAGAAGAAATCATGTTCTCATTAAAGCTAAAAAACAAGAAAATAAACAGGGCTGTGAACACAATTTGAAGATCAATAAAGAAAAAATAAAGAAAACTTAAACTTATATTCTCATTATCTGTGACACTCAACTCTCTCACAACTACTAATTTCTTTCTTCAAAGAAGCAGAGAGTATTATATCTGTGATACAGACAATTGTTGCATTTAACATAAAGATCATTAGAAATGTACAGACTTCAGAGAAGCTGAACATCAGAGTATACACAGTTGTGACAGAGTCTTGAAGACTGACTGCCTGCATGTGTGACCAGATATCTCTTATAAAGCTGTGTCTGCTTTCTCAGTTATGCTGGAGTATTCAGCCTGAAAACAATTAAGATGCAGAGAGAGAACTCATCTGCTCAGATTAACTCTTATTATGAATTCATAACATTCACATTGCCTTGATTACCTGGATTTTACAGGTATCTGAGAACTCATCTCTCATTGACAATGAGATTGCAGAAATGCACTGCAGCATGAGGATCATTGATAGAGAATCTAGACATATTTGCATATATCTGGTCAGAAATTGTGCAGACAGGAAAGAGGTGGTTGTAGGTCTGCAGGGCTGTAGAAGACACTGACAACACTGAGAGCTTCACAAGAACTGTCAGCTAGAGTCTGTAAGGAATTACTTATGAGAAGACTTACAGCAAAGAGAAGAACTGCACTGCTTATAGCCAGGGACTGACCTGGGGGAGACAGAGGGTTGGCCGCTGGCCTGAAGATTGGGTGCAGTGACAGGGCTGAGAGAGATGAAGATGCAGTCATGAGCAGCAGCACCCCTGCTTCATCAGCCAGTAAAAAGTGATCAGAGAAGTTGCAGGAATACTCATAAGAAGCTCAGCAGCAGCCAGACTTTGTTACAAAGATATTGAAATTGAAAAATTTTTATTCTTGAGAAGTTCTTGAATTAATACACAGACATTGTCAGAAACACTCTCTCTCTGTTATCTGAGTGAAAATACTTCACAGATGAATGAGAATACTCACAGTTTATAAAGATGAGAGCTGTTACAGAAAAAGAGAAAAGAAGATAAGATTTCACAGACAGATCTGGGATATTTATACTACTCTAGAGAGGTTTGCTTACACTGTGAGTAATTCTGCAGAACAGTCAGATTACTCTAGTAAATAAGAGTGATTATGAATCACAGATCTGAATCTTTCTATATGACTACAAAGAGTGATTGTAGACTGTGAACATCTTAATTCTATAATTCTACAGAGTTGATAAAAGAATGGAAAATTCCTCACAATTCTACAGTGTCAAAGAACAATGATTTGTGAGAATGAGTGAAAGATCAACTCACAAATGTTTCTCTTTAATGAGAATGATCTCACAGAAAGTGATTCATCTGCAAGATGAATCTGTGTGATGATCACATAAGAATCTTGTGAAAATGATTAAGAGTCAACTGAAACTCTTCTATATGAAAGATGTAAGATGAATCTGCATGATAGTCAGAGAAGAATCTATAGATTATAAAGAATCTTACAGAACAAGAAACTGAGTAACAGACTCTTTTCTCTTCACAGTAACAAGGGATTTTTCCTCACTGAGGTTTTTTTATAGATATAAAGGATTTTTAGTGAGTATCACTGCAGTGCTGAGCTGATTCTATGAAGTCACTCAGTGAAATGCTTCACAGACAAAGTCTTAGAGAGAAGAGAATATGTAAGAAATTTCACTTCTCATGAATTCTTTACCTCTATTCCTATCTCTCATGTAATCAATAGGGCTAGCGGCCCTTGGCTACACACAACTATATAGACTGGAGTTCATGAATACTATTCATAACTCAGCTTGAATGCTATTATATATTTAATCTCTACATTTTATCTTTCTACTGTGAATACTTCTAGTAGTTAACAGTACATATCACGCCAAGCTGCAAACACCCGAATAATCGCCTGCGAGCACTTATTCTTACATCAATTGAGTTATCTTTCTTTAGAAATTTCATTATTCTGGCTACAATTCTTGAATTCAGTGCAGAGTTCCTTATTCAGAATCAGAATCTCTGAAAATCAGTAATAGAATCTTTATTAAATATAATAATTCTATCTGAGAGAGATGAAAAGTGAGATAAATTCATTCTTTATAATATTTCAGTTGAAATTTATTACTGTGAAGAAGAAATACTACTTCTCAAAAACAAATTAAAAGAATATAATTCTATTCAACTGAGAAAAGAGTCTGTATAACTAGATTTAATTGAGATCAGATAAAGTAGAAGAAATGTCTCTGTTCTACTATATATAAAAACACTTGAATAATCAAAAATCTCTGAAGTAAGAGTAACAGATTTGAAAATAAGAGTTTATGAATACAAAGACTCAAGAATGAATCTCAAAGCTCAAACACAGTGTTTAAACTGTCAAAGATATAGACACTTTGTAATGTCTTATTTCAGAGACTTAAAATGCATATTTCATACTAGAGATTATAAAACTAGTGAGTATAAATGTGAGACATACTTAAAAAGAGATGAAATATATTACTATACTCTGCTTAAATACTCTAACTGCAAAGAAAAACATACATCTAGCTCAAGAGAATGTATATTTACTTCAAGAACTCAAAAGAACTGAAGAAAAGATACAGCTCAAAGTTAATTGAAAACTGAAGAGAATAGTCAAGTCAGTAAATCTGTAACTGCAAGCTCAAAAAGAAGAAACTCTCAATTATCTAAATCTTCAAACTTCAATTCTTCAGGTAAATATAAACAGAATTTGAATTCTCAAACTTCTGTTAAGATTAGAGAATTGAGAAATAACTCTGATAATAAACTAAATAGAATGTAAGCATTTGAGATTTCTACTTTTCAAAATAGTTATAATCTACTATCTGATAATAGTGATTAGATTCTACTCTATCTCTACTCTCTTTTAGTATGAATATACAACAAAAACAACAAAAAAAGTTTAAAAACTCTTCAAAAATCATATTTATTTAAAACAATGTGAATAGAAAGTTAAATTACATTTATTCTTATCTTCAAATTCTATTTAAATAAAAAGTTGATTTTATACTGCTTCAGAAACTGAATATTAATACTGAGTAAAAGTACATCATTTCTCATAAGCTACTACTACTTTTTATCTCAAAAGTCTGAGATAAAGTCAAGAGTAGTGATCAATGAATGAAAGAGATTAAGATACTAATTTAATCTAAGATTGAATATCATGTCTAACCCTGATATGCTAGTGAGTTATATTATAGATAAAGAGAATAAGTTTAATACTATACAACTTATAAATATCTATAATGAAAAGTTATTGAAGATAAATAATAATATCTGAATAATTAATAGAGGATTTTTAAATATAACTTCATTAAAAAACTCTATAATTACAGAAGATCTCAATACACATTATCTCTGATAAAATTCAGAATATAAAAGAGTACTAAGTGTAGATAAACTATTTGAATAGACTTTTAAGCATTCAATAGATTTAGTTAACAAGTCTGATCAATGAACATTTCTTAGAAAAGACATGAAACAGAAATCTATTATAGATCTAATCTTCATATTATAAAATCTAATTAAAAAAACTCTTATAAACTGATTTATTAATTTAAATAAGACATCAGAATCAGATCATGAGATTATTCAATTTAATATTGAACTGAGTAAAAAATAAATGAGGGAAAATAATCTTGTCTCTAATCAGTACAACTTTGAAAAAGCTAATTGAAAAGCAGTTTAAGAAAGTATAAAACTGTTAAAATCTGAAAAGCAGAGTAAGCTCTATTAAAATCTCAGTCCAGATATCTCAAATGAAAGGCTTGAGAATAGAGTAAAGCTGATTACATCTATTATTCTAACAGGTATTAGAGATAATATTTCAAAGAATGAGTCTTCTGAGTATTTCAAACCTTGATGAAATAAGACTATCACATCTATAAAAAGACAATTACTCACTGCTAGAAGAGATTGAAAGAATATATAATATCTGAGAAAGAGTTCAAGGCTATCAGAAATGAATATTTTTCACATATTAAAAGAGCTAAAATAGACTGCTGAAACAAATTTCTTGAAGAAGTATAAAAAAAACAAGTTTTCAAAAAGAATTGTCAAGGCAGAAAGACTATTGAACAACATAATCAGACTATCAAATACAGAGAGAGGTCTATCCTTTCAGGCTATGAGACAGTTATATATAGCCTGTATTACATCAGCAGCTGATTATGAAGTTCAAGTTTGATGAAATAATCAAGGGAATTTCACTGAACTCTTTCAAAGACTGTAAAACAGAGCCTTGAGAAGAATTCTGAGAGCATTCAAATCATCTCCTATTAAAGCAATGAAAATTGAAGCTTCAATTCCTCCTCCTGCTATTAGATTTAAAAAGGCCTGTATAAACTATGCTCTGAGAGTTATAAAGATGAGCTCAAATCATATAATCAGAGAAAAAGTCTCTTCTTCATTTCCATCAATTAACTCTGGAAATGAACTGGATTGAAATAGATTTCTTGATTGAAATGAAAATAATTCTTCAAAGAAAATGTCTTCTCAACTGTACAGACTATGCTCTCTGATTCAAAATCAATTTTCTTCTTTAAATGTTGAAAAAGTTGATCATGAGAAGTTATCTCTCTGGAGAGAAAAGCTTGAATCTCTTATAGACTTACAAATAAGTGAACTATCAAAAGAGAAAGAATATGAACAGCATTTGAAGAGAATTTCTACAATCAATATAAAAGACTCTATTCTGATTTATTCAGATGACTCAAAAAATGAAAATTTGAATAGATTAGGCACAGGCATTGCTTATACTGAAGATAATATCAATTTTATCTCAGATTTCTGAAATATAGGCTGTGAATCTGAAGTCTTTGATGCTGAACTATTTGTAATAGTGAAAGCTTTCAAACTCATTGAAATAAAATCTCATAAAAGAGGAAATAGTTTGAAAGAGACATGAATATTCTCTGATAGTCAAGCTGCTTTAAAAAGACTTAGAAATAGTCAGATTCATAATAATCAAATAAATCTTGAACTGATCTTAAACTCTGTTTTGAAAATTCAAAAGAGAAGAATATCAAAGCTGATAATTCATCTGAACTGAGTTCCTGCTCACATGAATATTCATGTCAATGAATTGGCTGATTGAGCTGCAAAAAAGAGTGCAGAATTAAGCAGATCTATTGAAAAAATTGTGTCCTGATCTTTTATAAAGAGAAAAATAAAAGAATCTTGTTTAGACAAGTGAAATGAAAGCTGACAGAAACAAAAGAAGAGTATACATTATTCAAGATTTGAAACAAAACCTGAGTGGAAATCTTGTTCAATTAAATATAAAAAGAAAATATTCTCATCTATAATACAGCTGAAACTAGAACATGGCTATTTCAAATCTTATATATAAAGATTTAATGATAGATTTGACTCAATAGAATGCTCATTCTGCAATGCAAATGAGAATTCTGAGTATATTGTAATACACTGTGCATTATACAATAGTCTCAGAGCCAGATTGAAAGAGAAGTATAATCTAAATCAGTTAAATATGAGATTCTTATTCTCAACTGAGACAGGAATTAAATACTTAATAGACTTTCTATCAGAAACTCAAGCAGCTATAAGAAAATGACTAAATTCAGAATTATCTGAATATGAAGAGGAGGAAATCAATCAGATATAGTCTGTTAAAACAGCTATATACTATCTTTTAATAATTTGTTTTATTACAGTCTCTCTTTATTTTATCTTTTTCTTTCAATTCCTTTCTATCTATCTAGTTAATATGTCTATCTTTAAGAC